CGGCCAGCCAAGTGTGGCGAATGGCACAATCGATAGAAGAAAACCATGTATCGAGAACATCTGGATCCTGATGCACGTTCACTTTGTCTCCATATTGTTTTCGTGCAAGAGAACGGGCTTCTTCTTCGGATCTTGCTATTATCCATGAAGTGCCATTGTTACTAGAGAAGGAAATCTCATTATCATCGTCACGATTATTATTATCATCATGAATTACAGAATACGCCGGAATACGATGACCCCACCACAATTGTCTCGACACGCACCAATCTCTAAAGAAAAAAAATTCATTCATTAAAAAGATTATATTGTATTTTACTTTGTTATGTATTTATTGTTTATGTATTTATTTCTGCATTCATCTATCTGTTCTATTTATCATACATTTATTTGCCTATGTATTTTTGCATACATTTATCTATTTATTTAATAATTAATAACAATTATTTTACCTAGTGTTTTCGAGCCAATCATGCCACATTTGTTTATGAATACTATCATCGCTCGGATCAATTTTCAATTCACCATTCGCTACAGCTTCTTGTGCTCGTTTAGCCATTGTCGCACACCGCAAAAACCATTGTTCCTTCGGCAAATACTCGATCACATCGTGTGTGCGTGAACATAGGGGCAGTGTCATCCGGTGATTATCTTCTATATCTCTCACCATGCCTCGCGCTGATAGCTGGTTCATCAGTTTCTTTCGTGTGATAAATCTTGGCACTCCCTTAAATTAATCATTATTCATAAGGAATTAAGAAAAACAATCTTGTAAAATAAATCATACCTTGAATTCCTTGCATGTATCCATCATATTGCCATCCTCGCCAATAATTATAATAATTGGCAAACCATGATTTTTAGCAATATCATAATCTAATCGATCATGTGCGGGTGTAATTTTCACTGCACCTGCAAAACAAGTACAATCAGTAATAAATAAAATAAATGAGTCGGTAAAATAAGTGAATAAATTAATAACCAAATAAAATGAGTTAATTATAATATATATAAATAATATAAATAAAATATCTTCTTTGTGCCACAATAGTTTCTAAGAATCTATTTTTTTCTTATTTTTTGTTTCGGATCGAAATTTCGAATATTATTAAATATATATATTTATTATTGTGATTTATTAATTTTTTATAAATTTTTACCAGTGCCAAATTCTCTCTTGATTGAAGAATCGGCTATAATGGGTATAAAAGTTTCTCTTATAGGATGGAAAACATGCCGACCAATGTATCTCGAATATCTATCGTCGTTCGGATGTACGGCAATTGCTACATCTCCAAAAATTGTTTCAGGTCTAGTTGTTGCAACTATCAGTTCCTCCTCTATGAAACAAAAGAATTAAAAAAGAAATTAACAAATCTGTTAGGAAATTAAAGCTACACAAACAAATTTTTAGAAAACGTTAATTTTATATAATTTTATTAAGTATTTATTTTCATATAGTTACTCGAATCTCTAATCGGATAAGCCAGCTTGATCAGCTGACCCACGGTAATTTTGGTACTGTAGCCAGGTAATTGAAGTTGCGTCTTGCCGTTCACCACAAAGTCTTCCACCTCAATATCTGAGATTGTGCTGCGTAATGCTGGTGACCAATTGACAAGATCCTTAGTTCTGTATAGCAGATTCCTCTCGTTTAGCTGTACGAATGCTTCTATTACTGCCATGCTGTGATTCTATGAGAACACAAAAAAGATTCAATAATCATAATAAATAAATCGAACAATAAATGTAAGAATAAATTAATAGTAATATATATATATATATATATATATATATATATATATATATAGTATAGTATATATATATATATATATATATATATATATATATATACATATATATAGAAACAAAGGAATATTACTTCATCAATAGTAAAATATTCTCTATCCCAATCAAGTGTGGCACCAAGAGCTTTTAATTGCTGCTGGATAATTGCAGCCTTCTCAGTCTTCCATTGCCAGATTAACTGTGTGAACTCAGCACGACCTATGTTGTGTCGTGTGATGTTGCGTGTACACTGCAACATTCGTTCTACTACTGCCTGTGTTGCAATCCCTGCATGGTCCAGACCTGGTATCCATAACACCGGATGTCCTTTCATTCTGTGCCTGTGTGTGCATGAGAGTAGTAGAGAAAAATCTATAATGATAAATTTACTTATAATAAATAAATGTAGCATGAGATAAAAAGACAATAATACATAACTATCTATAATGGAATTTTAACATTTTTTTGTATAAATTAAACTATAAAGTACTGTTAAGTTTAGCAAAAAAAAAGCTTGTTTGTGTAAGATGCAGAAATATTATATTCTAAATTATATTTTAATATCATTATGCTTATATATATATATATATATATATATGCGATATATTATTATGATATTATTAATATACTTTTGCTAACCATCTTGCTAGAACATCTTGGATTGTAACGGTGAGTGCATGACCCAAATGTAATATTCCTGTAATATTAGGTGGTGGTAAAACCATATTAAAAGATTGCTTAATATCTTCTTCCTTCTGTATATTACTGCTTGTCCTACTTATCCTGGATGATCCAAAGTATTTATTATATTGCCATATGTCATACCGGCCTCTTTCTATGTCCTCCGGTTTAAAAATGGCAGGAAAATCTATTATATTTATAAATTTTAAAATAGTTAAATTAAAAGATTCTCTTGTTTTTTTTTTTCATTTTATATGGATAGTTTTTAATTCATTCAATTGTTTAGCTTTAATGTTTGCGAGTTGTGTAGAACAAAAGAAATGCAAGATAATGTTAAAAAATACCTGTTAGTATCTTATTGTTGTATGTTTCTGTTGTAGTTGCAGTAGAAGTGCAATAATTTAATCTTCGATAGCATTTTGCCCGCAGAAAACAATGACCGGTGAATGTGTGTTTCATTGATGATAATTAGATTTTTGCAAGAATTATAATGATAACTACAATAAAAATTTGTCTCATAAAATTATATGGATATATATGTCTTTTGCTTCTCATATAATATATGTTTTTTCACACAATTTTTAATCACGCAAATATAACAACTTAATATAATCTAACCTCAAACTTTTGTATTGTATGTAAACCTATGTATTTCACATATTGTGTTTATATATGTTTACATAATGTAGATAATAAAATAAAAAAACAAAAATTACTATCTTTGTTCAATTTTATTTAATTCAGTTTAATTTAATCTGTGAGAATTTGAATTTTTCCTAAATATCGATGATCGATAACAATTTATGAACTTTACTGACCGTACGTAATTATCGATATTAAATTTCTAATCGTCTATGCTTGTATAAAATTACGTATTAAACATAAATAATCTTGAAGATTTGAAAAAAATTTGAGGAATTTTAATTATTTTATTACTTTCCTAATATATAAATTTTTGTACAAAAATTGATATGCAATCTTTAAATTTAAAATGTTATTTTAGTCTTTTTATATTCTTGAAAATTATAACATTTTTCCTTCATATAACAAATGTCAAATCTTGTGTTATTTGAAATATAAAAATAATAAATGTAAATAAAAAAAATAGCATTTTTATATGTCCATAATACCAGTACCAAGTATTTATTATATTGCCATGTGTCATACTGGCCTCTTTCTATGTCCTCCGATTTAAAAATGGCAGGAAAATCTATTATATTTATAAATTTTAAAATAGTTAAATTAAGAGATTCTCTTGTTTTTTTTTTCATTTTATATGGATACCACAATTATCATATACATTGTTATAAG